TGCCCCTGTTTTGCAGTTTTAAGGAGTTTGTGCTAGAGACAGAAATTTGAGGGTCATTCGTAGATTGATGGCAGTTTATATGGATTAGATTGTGTAGGGCAGTTCTCAAAATGTGCTCCTTTCTACCAGCTTCATCAGTACCCTCCTGGAAACCTGTTAGAAATGCAGATTTTCAGGTTCTGCCCCCATTGGATCAGGATTTCTGGTGGGATCCAGCATTCTGAGTTTAAGGAACCATCCAGGTGATGCTGATACATGGGAACTCGTCCTGGACTAGGGAGAGGGCATGGAGTGAGAAGAATTTGAGTCTGGGATTGAACCTTGAGAAGCTCTAACTTGTAAGGATTTGGAGGAGAGGGATGGCTTTGCCAGGGAGATTGGGTAGTAGCAGTGTGTGGAGATGTAGAAGAAAAATCCAGGAAGCCAGTGAAGACAGTATTCAAAGGAGTATTATTATTGCTGACAAACTCAGTAAAATGATGCTTGGGAAATGTTCCCTGGGTTTAGAAGAAGCAGATCCAGAGAGACAGAAAGTAGATTACTGATTGCCTGCAAGTGGGGAGGGAAAGTGAGCAGTCACTGAAAATGGCACTGAATTTCTTTTTTGGGGGCTATAGCTCTTTTGGAGTTAGTGGTAATAGGAATTGTGAACATACTAAAAGAAATCACTGACTTGTACACTTTAAAAAGGATAAATTGTGAATTTTATCTCTATTAAAAACAAAGCCCCCCAGGCGTAGCAATATGAAGATAATTGGTAACTTTAGTGTGACATGTTTGTGGTGTGGACGAGGGTGGAAACAGATCAGAGGGTGTTAAGAGGTGAGAGGAGGGAAAATGGAGCAGGGGGAGAAGTAATTCTTCAGAGAAGTCTTGTTTTAAAATTTTTTTTTAATGTTTTATTTTACTTTTTAAGAGACAGCGGGGGACAGAGCATGAGCAGGGGTGGGGCAGAGAGAGAGAGGGAGACACAGAATCGGAAGCAGGCTCCAGGCTCTGAACTGTCAGCACAGAGCCCGACACGGGGTTTGAACTCATGAATTGCGAGATCATGACCTGAGCCAAAGTCAGATGCTCAACCGACTGAGCCACCCAGGCGCCCCTGAAGAAGTCTTGTTTTAAAGAGGAGTCTCAAGAGAGGGTGGTGGTTGAAGGGAGATGTCGAGTCAAGAAAGTTTGGGACAGTTTTTTGTTTTTTGTTTTTTTTTTTTTCTTTTAAAGATGGTAGAGACCTGAAAGTGTTTAAATTCTGTTGGGAAGGACCCAGAGGAGATACCTGGAGAAGAAAGTGATCATCAGTTGTGTTGAATAATGATACAGTTTCAGACTCAAAGGGACTTCTGTAGTTAACGGAGCCTGGTATTTTCCTAACCATCTCCATTTCTTAGAAAAAAATAGGTGAAAAATAATCCTGAAGCAATCCTCCAATTCAAACTTGAACGTAGTATGGGGCAGGTATCTTGCTGCCTTCCAGGGCCAATCATTCTTAGATGCTTCTGACTGTATTGGGTGGTTGAGGGAAGGGAAGGGAAGCAGGGAAGATTGATTTGTAACATGGGAGATAATGTTTCTTTTATAGAATAAAATCTCTCAGCTTAAGTGGACTTTCAATCTTATGTCAGTCACTTCCTTCATTCTACCTCCAGAAGAACCCAGTGCTGCCAATTCCTGAGCCTTATGGGACGTTTCTAGTATTTATTAGGTGGATTCTCTGGCTTTGTCACCTTAATATTCCCTTTTCTTGGTTTTCTAATTTACTACCACTCCTCTGATTTCCAGCTTTCACAATTTTATTGCTATCTTCTGCTCTCTTATTCTCCCTGAGCTTGTTGGATTTCTTTCTTAAAAAGCCTTTCAAAATTCTCTTTTTAGTGTGGATTTGGTAGATACATGTGTTCAGTCTGCCATCTCTACCTTCTCTTTCTCTCACTTTTTCCCCCCAGAGAACATATAACATGTTTTTGTGTCTGTTCACTTTTATAGCTGCTCTCCTTTGTCTAAGTAGGAGCCAGGTTCCACTAATAAGCCATTTCTCCTGCTCAGTATGGAGGCAGGTTTGGGAACCTATTTGTCCTTGTGCGGCTGTCATGAGGATTAATTCTCCTGAGGAATGGGTGTAATGTCCTTTGGTGTGTCATCTCCTCTCCCCAGTTCTGAGAATGTGACCTAATTTTATCGCATCCCTTATTATATTTCACGCTGTAAATTTCTACCTGTCTTTCCATCCTGCTGTGACCGCTTTATATCCTAATTCTGTCACATGGCATGTTAACTCGTCTTCCTCTCTCAGGTCTATAGATTTGATCACCAGGTCACCAGAGCTCTCTTTTCAGTCACTGGTAAAACTTGTGGCTGTGATAGGCCAAGAGATATCATGACAGTCTCACCAAACTTTGCAGACAGTCAGAAAGACTGGGTCTGGAGCATTTCTATGACTTATCTATGTGAACTCATTTAGGTGAGTCTAGGCATGGGAAAATATACTTCAGAGAATAAGAGCACCTCCAGTTCTTAAAATTGTTTTACTATTTTAAATAAGAAAGTTTTTGTTTTTGTTTTATTTTTTCTTTACTGAAGTAGTGATTTTTAATCTTGGGTCTGCAGAGATAGTTCAGAGAGTCACTGAGTTTGGATGACAAAAAATGTCTTTGTTTTCACTTATCTTAATTATATTCAATTATAAATGTTGGAAATAAACTATAGTTGTATTAGCAATATGAATGTCACAATAGAAATTACAGACATTTTTATATCCCATTATAATTTTTACATGCATCTTATATGTTTCATATCTCTTATTATTTATGTTCATTCCTTCTTCAAAATTATAGTCATCACTAGACCTACTAGGTCTTGTTACATATTAATAAAACAGTAAATAATTAAATATGTCTTATAAATTATTTTTTTAATATTTTGATAAATTTAATCGAATTAGTCTTCTGTTATTCATATATATTTTATTTTATTCATTTAAAAACATCATTCTGAGAAGAGGGGTTCACAAGCTTCATCAGATTTCTAAGGGTTCCATGACACATGAAAGATTCTGAAACCTTGACCCAAAGAGACAAGTGCCTGCAAAGGAGTATGTGATTCTTTATATAAACTGCTATTTTGTCTTAGATCCCAAGCTATACCTTTCTCTGGTTTAGTCCATTAAAATTTGCTTTTTAATACATGGTTTGTCTTTACATGATATTTGGAAAAGGGGCTACTTTGCTTTGCACTGACCCGTGAGTTCAGATAGCATTAAAAAAATGTCTTGAAATCAGATTTACATATGTAGAATAATTCTTCCTATTAACGTAGGTTAACTTTGAAGTTTCAAGAGTGTCTGGGTGGCTCAGTCGATTAAGCAGCTCAGGTCTTGATATCAGGGTCATGGGTTTAAGCCCCTTGTTGAGCGAGGCTTCAGCAAACAAAAAACTTTGAAGCTTCAGAACTTAAACATTTCTTTTAAGTTGCTTTGCTTACTTCCTATTTTTATATTAGGTTATCAGGATGTTGAAATCCAGTGACATTGAAGCTTCATTTTAATTCATGACTTAGCAGCCATAGGTTCAAGTTACATTGGGTGATATAAAACTCAGTTTTATGTTAATTATATGTTAAAGCACTTAAAGGTCCTTTTCTCCCCATGGAGCATCATCTGGCACCTTCCCTACTGCTGCCCTTGAACCAACTTTGTGTGGTGCCTTCGACTTTGTCATTGGCAGGTGCCTGACAGCTCTATTCCTTCAGGTCAGCATTGGGGGCTGGGCAGAGAGACTGAGAGCCTGGAGGTCAAGTTTCTTGCCTTGGACACCTTGGAACATTGCTAGTGTTAAAGCTCCAGTGCCAGTTCTTGCTTAACCTCACCTGAACTTGATACTTCAGTTTTATGTTGCCTAAAGCAGGTTGCTCTAAAAACTTAAATAAAGTATGAAGTACTCAATTTTCGGTGCAGTAGGTTCCCACTCCTTTTGATATAACACTTCATTAGAAGTTCTCCTGGATCCTGAGAGGAGATTGTTTGGAAGAATGACTGCTTTTTCCATAGTTTTTTTTGTTTTTTTGGGGGGGAGGGTAGATAGGAGGGGTGTCATTTAATCTAGGAAAATAGCAGCTAGCTTCTGTTGACCTGCCTACATTGTCCTCCTTACATTTTTATGCTTGTATTTACCATATTCCTGATAGGTGGTTGTTCCTCTATGAGAATACCATTGGTGATTATAAATCTTTTACTTAATGGAACAGTTCAGGTCATTGTTAATAATACCAAGAAAAACCATAGTATTTCTTAGGTGCTTCCTATGTGCCAGGCTCTTATATGAAGGACTTTCCATTTATTTTTCTTTTTTTTAAGTTTATTTATTTATTTTGAGAGAGAGAGAACAAGCAGGGGAGGGACAGAGAGAGAGGTAGAGAGAGAATCCCAAGCAGAGAGATCCCAAGAGAATCCCAAGAATCTGTGCTGTCAGTGCAGAGCCCAGTGTGGGGCTTGACCCCACAAACCATGTGGTCATGACCTGACCCGAAATCAAGACTTGACCACTTAACCAACTGAGCCACCCAGGCGCTCCAGGACTTCCATTTATTAAATGTAATCTGACAATAATCCTGTAAATGGTAGATACCATCAGTAACATCATTTCAGAGATGGGAAACCGAGACTCACAGAAGTAAAATAAGTTGTTCAAGGTCCCAGCCAGTATGTGGCAGAGTTGGAACTTGAATGAAGGCAAGCTGACTTGTGAGCTCAGGCTCTTGAATTTGCTTTTCTTATTAATTATGCCTATTGGATTAAAGCAGTTTCAGAAATGCTTCATTTAAGATGTAAGAGTAGTTAACTAGTAGTATCTGATGTGTTGCATAAATTTACCATGTTGACAGCTGTGAAGCCAAACAAGCATATCTTCAATTGTCTTTGGTATTGTCTTATTTGAATATTCTGAATGTACATTTTTAGTATTGTTTTTTTGTTTTGTTTTTGTGTGTGTGTGTGTGTGTATTTATAGGGATGCTTCCTTTGGAAATTGCACTTACAATCTCACCATCCTCGACTGTTTGCAGGGAATCAGAAAGGTAATAATAATTCTCCTTACTGTAGTTGACACAGTAGTTTCAAAATACGAGAAAGGAATAATGTCAATATTCTTGTTTTTCATTGGAGAGAAGAGAGGACAGGCAGTAAGCAGAAGGCTTTCCACTTCTTGAACAATGATTGATCTGTAAAATATAGATTGTTGGACAAATTGAAGGGGTGTCTGCGGGTAACTCTGTAACTCCTTATTGAGGTAGAAGGGATTTCCCTTTCTCATTTAAATTGTTTCTTTTCCCCCTCGGCAGATGGATCACTCCTATCTGCTGCTCTGCCTGTGACATTGCTTTGTCACTGGTTCAGCTTCCTTATCAAGCTAGAGCTTGGTGTGGGAGAGACAGGAAGCCAACCCACACCTCTGTCAGTGTGGAGAACATTTCCATGTTGGTTTCCTACCTGGATATTATTACACCTCTGTGAAGTAGTAAGTAGGCCAGATATTATCTCATCTTTATAGACGAGGAAACAACCCCAGAGAGGTGAAGTCAGTTTCAGAGCCACAGGGAGTTCTTAGCAGGGCTAATTCTAACTCAGATTTACCTACCATATCAAGGGTATGTTATGAATCAATGGTTTGTCAAAGCGTGGGACTTGTCAGAGATGAAATTCTCGGTCCCATCCAAGACTGATTGAACCATAAACTGTGGTAGTGGGGCCCTGCAGTCTGTTTGACCAATCCCCCTGGGTGATTTGATGCACTGTATGTATAGTTTAAAGGCATAGTTATTTATTCATATATATAAAGGAGAAGTTAATCTAAAATATTTTTGAGAATTTTAAGAATGTGTTCTAGAAGCACTAATTTACTGAGAAGTCATGCACTTTATAGTGTGAATTCGAATGAAGGTTCAAAGTGCATCATTCCATCTTGAACATACAGCCATGATTTATCAGTCAGGAATGTACATGTTGCAGAATCCATTGGCAAGGACTGTAAACACACTATCGGCAGTGATTCTTGTTCCAGTTTCTTTTCTCTACCATAATGTAATATAATATGATGTAATATAATATAATATAATAATATAATTGCTACATTTTGAGTTGAGAAAATTGGTATGATAAATATCCTTGTGTTATGTATGTTTTTTGACTTTGATATTTCATTTAAAAATGAATTTAAACTCTGTAAGACTTTAAAATAGTTTTCAAATATTTTTCTTTTCACTTAAAAACTGTCAAAATACTCTAGCCCACCCCACAAATAATGTCACCAACATAGACTTCTAGTAACACAAGTTAAGAACCCTAATTATAGCATTTAAAAAATATGCCTGAGGGAAAGAAAGTACTTGTTTATTGTTATTGTTGTTATTTTTATTGTTATTATTATTTCGCCTATTCTGCCATCTTGTACAGGCTGTTTCTTTTATAAATTTATGAAGTTCAGAAAGAGTTCACCCTGGAATATCCCCACCTGTTATGGTAACTTGGTAACTCGATATAGAAATTTATGACATCCTTCCTGTTATAGAGGGAAGCTGTACTTTGTTCATGAAAAACATCTTCTGTAAATTTCTTGTTTCATCAAATGTTTGGGTTAATATTACCTGAATGTAGATGAGATTTTAGAAAGACCTAATAGAGTGTTCAACATGTCTTTAAGCGACTGAGACACATTACCCCCCGGCACACACTTTATACAAGCCATCATGGTCTGGGCAATTTTTTTGGCAATGAGTACCATGCCCCCTAAGAGTGCAGACAGTTTACAGCTGCAGTGTTACCTTCTTAGGAAGCATATCTTTGTGATTTTGTTGTATGGGCATCATCACACGCACAATTCATATGTGTGTGAACTATCCACAGAAACATACACAAACCCACACTTTAAATGAAGAGAAAGGAAGGAAGGTTATAGCTCAGGGTTTACTCTTCTCACTGCTTTCACTGGAATCAACTGAGTTGCTTTGTTTAAAGATGAAATAATGTAAATAACTTGTTTTGCTCTTAACGGTAGGGGTCGACAAAACAGTGTTGTCAGACCTTATGGTGTGTAAGAATCACCTAGAAGGCATGTTAAAATATTGGTCCTACCCCTAAAGAATCACATTTAATAGTTCTGGCATGGGGTTTAGGAATTGGTATTTTAGATCTAAGTTACCGTCAGTGCTTCTGCTGCAGGTGGTCCATGCTCTGCATTTTGGAAAACACTGGTCTGTAAAATATTTTCAAATACAGATGCACCACAGCTTGGCTTAACAGTTTCTCCTATTTTTAATGACTTGAATACATAATTTTTAAAAGCAACTGTGGGTTTGTACTCTATTATAATTTGTATAGCTTCATGACATAAAAGAAGAGACTCTGTCCTCTTCAAAATATTATATCTGAGCAAGCTGGATCGTTTTGAAAAGGAGTAATGCACGTTTTCTTTGTGTTGTTAAAAATATCAGCTCTTCCTCTAAAGTGTAAGAGCAGTCTAGTACACTTGTACTCTGTCAGAAACTATTACTGTAAAACAAATTCTCTCAAAGCAGGGACAAATAAGGGCCTATTGAGTAAAAATGCCCTTTTTGCTAAGTATCTCATTAATGCTGAAAGGAAAATAAAAGCACCTACAAATTTGATTTTTCTTCTCCTATCTGAAAAGTTAATCACTGTTAGGTATTCTGTCATGGCTTGATATGAATTAATTGCGTCATTCCCAAATGGGTTTTAACTATATATTTGCTAGTATGCTCCATTTTATATACATAATTAATTAATTTATTAAAAAAATTTTTTTTACATTTACTTATTTTTGAGAGACAGAGAGAGACAGAGCACATGTGAGGGAGGGGCAAAGAGAGAGGCGGGACACAAAATCCGAAGCAGGCTCCGGGCTCTGAGCTGTTAGCACAGAGCCTGACTTGGGGCTCAAACTCACAAACTGTGAGATCATGACCTGAGCCGAAGTCAGACGCTTAACCGACTGAGCCACCCAGGCACCCCTATATACATAATTAATTTATTTACACACAAAACAATGTAAATTAGGACTCTAGATCCGTTTTGCAGGACATATTTTCATGTTTTTCTAAGTGTTCAGTCCCACTTGTAAGAAAGTCTCAAAGCAAAATTACTAATATTAGATGATTTCTAGATAGGTGTTATAAATGAAAGGTTTCAAGCTTTTTCCTTCAGGTTAGTGAGGGTCATTTGTGAGCAGGAATGGCTAAAAGTTATCAATTTGGTGTGGAAAAACTAATTCAAGTTCTGCTTTTAGGGATTACAACATGGATTTTTTGACTTTGAGACATTTGATGTGGATGAATATGAACATTACGAGGTTTGTACATTTTAATGTTTTGCAAGATATAACTTCATGTTAATTAAAATCCCTGTACCCCACCACCCCCCAACACTCGAGTATTGCAAATTTAGTGACTGCTAAAATAAACGCATTCTGGCATTTTCCATAGCTGTCAGTTTTGTCCTTTCAGCTTTGGCTATTACCTTTGAACCAGCAGTCACCCAAATTTTGGTTTGGGAAAATGTCGTATCTATAATATTCTCGTATCAAACCTCTATTAGTAATTACTTTGCACATTTAGTTTATAAGAAAAAATAATTTCAAAGTGTAGTTTGGTAGTGAAACTGAGTTACTGTTATTTTAAAAATTCAGGTTCTGTTTAAGACAAAATTGGACTTTTGCCTTGTATTGGTTTCTGCTGCATAAATTTTATTTTGAAATATGGCTGAATTTACCTAGTTCTATGGGTTGGGTGAATTTTTTTTCCTGTGGCATCACAAAGCTTTTGAATAATGTCTTGCCTGCTCAACGATGCAGAGTTTAGTCAAGGGCTGTCCCAGCTAGGCTGTGCTCTAAGATGTTAAAGGAGAGCACTTTCTGAGTAGGAGGAGGAAGAGTCTAGAAGCAGTTAGTTTCTCTGGAAGATGAGAAGCCTGTAGAATGTGAGTAGGCTCAACATTCTATGAAAGGGAGCTCTTCTGTTGGGGTCCTCCAGAAGAGTTGTGAAATGTGTCCCCCTCCTTAGCAAGAGAGGGCAGCCCTCCCACTTTGGGCTCTAGTTCAGGATATCTGTTTGGATAGCCTGCTTACATGTTAAACTTCACATATAACATGTGGAAAGAGATTGTGTTTCATTCAAACATGGTCTTCTGCTTCATTCATCTGTATTAATGGCACCACCATCCCGCTGTTCACTCAGGCATAAGAACAGAAACACTTCTCTTTCCCTCCCTGATCTAACCAGTAGTTGCATTCTCATTGCTGGTGCCCTGTGGTGTGTTTCATCTTTCCTGTCCTTTCGGTTCTACTTCTTTCACTCTGGCGCAGGTCTCACACCTTCTGTCGTAGACTATGGTAACCACTCTAATGAGCCCTGGCCCTTCTCCTATTGGTCTTGCACCCACTTGACTGACTGATCTTAAAACAGAGCTCTCGTCTTGGCCTGTCTTGGCCCCAAACTGCACTGCCCTGCAGAATTGAGGATAGAGTCCTCTGTCCTGGCATTCTTAGCATGGATGGGCTCCAGCCCTCTTGCTCTCCTTGTCTCACTTTGCTCACTGTGTGCCCTCTGCATGCCAGCCCCACCGAGCTGCGTATTTACTGCTTCTTGAGTGTCCCTGTGCCCTGGCCGAGCTTCCTTTCTGCCAGGTGCCCATCTCCTTTAACGGTTCCCCTCCTCCCATTTCATGCGTGCCAGATCTACACAGATCAGCTCTAACTCTTTTGAGTATTTTCTCTCTTCAGTTTCATATGTTACAATTTGTACTTTCCACTTTTCCTGTATCGTGGCTATTTGTGTACAAACTTTTATTTTTTCTTATTGGATTGCAAATTCTTTGGGACATGACTAAGGGGAAAAATTTATGCTGAGTTCTTGGATAGAAAGTTTTAACATCATAAAGCTGCTACTTCTCCTCAAATCAATAAATAGTGCTAAATTTATTAATAAGTTTAGTGCAATTTATTAAAAGCCTTAAGTATTTTTTTTAACCACAAAAGCATTGTTATCATGGCATTTTAGTAATGACCAAAGAATCCGCCCCTCAAACCCTGCATATACATATATTATGTCTGTATTATATGAGCAGAGCTATTTCCTATGAAGCTAACAAAGCTTAAATTTTAGAGACCCCCCCCACTTGCATGGGCACCTTTTAAGGTCCTATACCTAATTTTAAGGGGTGCCTGGCTGGCTCAGTTGGTAGAGCATGTGACTCTTAATCTCAGGGTCATGAGTTCAAGCCCCACACTGGTATGGAGCCTACTTAAAAAAAAGAAAGGTCCTATACCTAATTTTATATTCATAATTATATATATGTGTGTGTGTGTGTATATATATATATTTAATTATTTTAATTTTTTTTTCGAGAGAGACAGAGCATGAGTGGGGTGGGGGGGGGCAGAGAGAGAGGGAGACACAAAATCCAAAGCAGCTTCCAGGCTCTGTGCTGTCAGCACAGAGCCCAATGCGGGGCTTGAACCATGGACCTTGAGATCATGACCTGAGCCGAAGTTGGATGCTTAACCGACTGAGCCACCCAGGCTGCCCCATAATTTTATATTCTTAAAGTGGGCTTCCAAATTTGTTAAGTTTCATGTTCCATGTATATGAGCATGGAGAACATTCTATGGCAGAAAACAAAAGCCATTTCCATTAAAAGAAGGTATTGGGGTGGGGATTCAAGAGGGAGAGGAAGGAACAAATAGCACAATAAAGAGAGAAAATTAGTTGATAACTTTACTTATTCCTTCATCTTTTTTTTTTTTAAACTTTAATGTTGATGTTGAGAAGTAGTTGGAAAGCTGTTGAAAAACCTGAAACAGTACAGTTTCATTCTTGCAAACCAACCAACCAACCAACCAACCAACCAACCAACCAGCCAACCAAAAAAATCTGTTAAGAATGTGGTCATATCCTCACCTGAATAAACAACAACAATAACAACAAAACTCAGGTAATGAGAGACAGGTGGCAGTTGGTGAACATTTGACATTTTCTGTCAAATTACTTCCATTTTTGAGAATGATATGTCCATTCTATCATTAAGCCTAGGAAAAGAAAATCACAAATAGAAGCATGATTTTCAGGGAGTGAGCATTTCATAAATGCTGCTTACTGAATAAATAAAGGAACTCTCTTTTTGACAATCTGTGGGTCTAATCCTTTCTTGTCATAATTTCTCTCACTGTTCTCCCACCTGCTTTAGTGACTCTGGACATTTGCTGAACGTGGGGGATAGCTAGATTCACATATTCCATTTGCCCCAGCAAAGTTGGTATTCCAATGAAGACATTGTGGTTTTCTTATTTATTTATATTTATATTTATATTTATATTTATATTTATATTTATATTTATATTTATATTTATATTTATATTTATATTTATATCCAAGGTAGTTAGCATATAGTGCAATAATGATTTCAGGAGTAGAGTCCAGTGATTCATCCCCTATATATAACACCCAGTGCTCATCCCAACAAGTGTCTTCCTTAATGCCCCGTAGCTGTTTAGCCCATCCCCCCCACCCACAACCCCTCCAGCAACCCTCAGTTTGTTCTCTGTATTTAAGAGTCTCTTATGTTTTGTCCCCCTCCTTGTCTTTATATTATTTTTGCTTCCCTTCCCTTATGTTAATCTGTTTTCCACATGAGTGAAATCATATATTTGCCTTTCTCTGACTGACTTATTTTGCTTAGTATAATACCCTCTAGTTCTATGCGCTTAGTTTTGAAGGGACATTGTGGTTTTCAAAGTAAAATTTTATCATTGATGGCAAATTAGGAGAATGTAAATCTTAGATTATTGGGGGATGTCAGGATGAAGCTTTTCAAAGACACTTTAAAAAAAATGTTTATTTATTTTGAGAGAGAGAGAGAGCATGAGCACAAGTCAGGGAGGGGCAGAGAGAGAGGGAGAGAGAGAATCTCAGGCAGGCTCTGTGCTGTCAGCACAGCGCCCTACATGGGGCTCAATCTCACGAACCCTGAGATCCTGACCTGAGATGAAATCAAGAGTTGGAGACTTAACCCACTGAGCCACCCAGGTGCCCCTCAAAGGCACTACTTGACTGTACTACATTTCATATATAAATTGGCTCAAGAAAAAGCCTAAATTAATGAGACTGCATCTCTATGTGTGATAGAAGGGGAGCTTTATGATAAGAACTCTACTTAAAAAGGTTGTTAATAGCCAAATTATGGAAAGAGCCTAAATGTCCATCAACTGATGAATGGATAAGGAAATTGTGGTTTATATACATAATGGAATACTATGTGGCAATGAGAAAGAATGAAATATGGCCTTTTGTAGCAATGTGGTTGGAACTGGAGAGTGTTATGCTAAGTGAAGTAAGTCATACAGAGAAAGACAGATACCATATGTTTTCACTCTTATGTGGATCCTGAGAAACTTAACAGAAGACCATTGGGGAGGGGGAAAAAAAAATTAGAGAGGGAGGGAGCCAAACCATAAGAGACTCTTAAAAACTGAGAATAAACTGAGGGTTGATGGGGGTGGGAAGGAGGGAGGGTGGGTGATGGGCATTGAGGAGGGCACCTGTTGGGATGTGCACTGGCTATTGTATGGAAACCAATTTGACAATAAATTTCATATTAAAAAAATGTTGTTAATGACAAGGTCAGCAGAATATGAGAAATACTTGTTTTATAAGGTCTATAGATAAATGTTTGCTCATTCTGCAAAAGGTTATATCTATCTTTCCAGCAATTCATGGGTCTATAGCAGTGCTGTCCAATAGAAATATAATGAAAAGTATTTATATATATTTTAAACATTCTAGTAGCCACATTTAGAAAAAAACAATTATGAAATTAGTTTAAATATATTTTATTTAATGCAATTTACGCAAAATATCATTTCAACGTGTAATCAATATAAAAATCATTGATGATGTATTTTAACGTTTGTATTTTTGAGACTAAGCCTTCAAAACTCGGTGTGTAGTTTGCTCCATGGCACGTCTCAGTTTGGACTAGTCACATTTCAAGGGCTCAATAGCCATGTGTAGTGAGAGAACAGATTCTTTTTATTTATTTTTTATTTATTTATTTATTTATTTATTTATTATTATTATTTTTTTAATTTTTTTCTTCAACGTTTTTTATTTATTTTTGGGACAGAGAGAGACAGAGCATGAACGGGGGAGGGGCAGAGAGAGAGGGAGACACAGAATCGGAAACAGGCTCCAGGCTCCGAGCCATCAGCCCAGAGCCTGATGCGGGGCTCGAACTCACGGACCGCGAGATCGTGACCTGGCTGAAGTCGGAGGCTTAACTGACTGCGCCACCCAGGCG